CGTGGCTTCTTTGAAGTGAGACGTCAACACTGGGTCAAAGGTAGACTATGTCAGCCCCCATCTTATAATCTTTCTTTCCCCTGTTTTGGAGGGCCCTGAAATTACACTCCTTTTCTTGCTCTCTCTTCCCTTCTTTCTATCCCTGCCTCTTTCTTTCCTTCAGCACCAAATAAAAAAAAAACACCCCCTGCTGTTTTCCAGGCTGATGCAGGGTTTGCTGAAGTTCATGAACATCGGCTCCTCTCTGTCTGCAGCCAACGCTGTCGGCACACTCAACAACCTCGCCATCGATAAAAAGTAAGCAATGTTCTCTTTCTTCGTCATCGTAATTTACAACAATTTTGGATTCAGTAATGAGATAATAATTGTTACTTTTTAAGAAGTTAAATTCACTTACTAGTACTAGGGGCTTGTTGTAGTAGTAGTAGTAGTAGTAGTAGTAGTAGTAGTAGTAGATCCCTTAACCGTGACGGTTGTAGGGGCATCATGACAGCCAGCAGCATGTCTGGACTTGACATGATGACTCCTCAGGCTTATAATCTTGGCGGCGCCTATCTACTCTCCATGATTTTGGCTGATACAGACGGGGTTCGCCAGGCCTCCGTCCGGGTGATTTGTAGTACTAATAATAGTACTTGTGCTAGCTTGTAATGATTCTTTTGTTGTCACCTCTATGCACAATAAAAGTCTCCATTCATCCTGTCATTCCCAGGTTTCTGATGCAGTTCAGAGACAGTTTTGAGGAGACCGTTCTGCCAGCCTTTGAGAACATCATGGTAGGTCATACTAAGCTAACAATTCAAATCATAAAGAAACCTTACGATTTAGCTTGGTACGTTATGGCAGACATGAGGCCTCTCTGTCATGTTAATTTTGTTGATAGTATAAACCAGTAGGATTTCACAAGCTATTAAACTGCAGTTTGCATCAGAACCAGTTATTGTTGCCCTGAAGAAGGTGACAGACAGTCACTGACACATTGGATGTGAAAGCCCACTATTCGGTTGTTAAATAAAGAACCCTGAAGTTCTTCTACATGCTATATTCACAGTTGCGTATGTTGTTTCCAGACCAGATGTTCTGAGATCAGTGTGACAGTTCTACCCAGCTGTGTGTCTATGGTCAGTAACATGGCAGTGGACCCTGTACTCAGGAGATTGATGTCTGCAAGGGCTCAACTCTGGGGGGCCTGCCTACAGGCTATGGTAAGGAGATACTTGTACATTGTGTGTATCCTAGCTATCCCTTGTCTTCTCTTACCAAATCTTATCTTAGAAAGTACATGGTCAGTAGCATGCAAGGGCTCAACTTTGGGAGGCCTGACTACAGGCTATGGTAAGGAGATATCCTACATGCCTTCTCTCAGCACTCTGTCTTATTAAGTAGGAAAATACATGGTCAGTAACATGGCAGTAGACCCAGTACTCAGGAGTCTGCAAGGGCTCAGCTCTGGGAGGCCTGTCTACAGGCTATGGTAAGGAGATATCCTATAGCTGTGTCTTCTCTTATATGACTCTTATCTTGGAAAATACATGGTCAGTAACAAAGCAGTAGACACAGTACTCAAAAGATGCATGACTGCCAGAGCACAACTTTGGGAGGCCTGCCTGCAAGCTATGGTAAGGACATATCCAACCACTAGTTCTAGAAAATACAGTATCAAAGCGGTGGACCCAGCTAGTACTCAAGAGATGCCTGTTTGCTTTAACACAACTCCGGAAGGCCTGCCTACAAGCTACATTTTTTATGGCAAGGATATATATACCTTTTGTCTACTCTCACCACTCTTGTAATCTGAATTACACAAATATGTACATGCATTGGTCAGTAACATGGCAGTGGACCCAGTACTGAGGAGACTCATGTCTGCAAGGGCACAACTCTGGGAGGCTTGTCTACAGGTTATGGTAAGGACATATCCAACCTGTGTCTTGTCTTCTCTTACCTAACTCTTACCCATCCATCCATCCATCCATCCATATATATCCATTTACTACTGTATTCTGCATCTGCAGTTGTTGAAATGTCCTGCCTTCATTTTCTTCCACTGTGTCTCCTGAGCTTCCTTAGCTCTCAGAGTTTATTTTTTGTTGTAGTAGGGACAATGGAATGCAAGGCAAACACTACCGACTTGGCCATTGCACCACTGCAAACAGTTCAATATATACCGTATGGGAATGAATTTGTATTTCTGTGATAACCTGTAGGACGTGTGCCTGTCCGACCAGACTAAGTATGACGAGGTTTTGGAGGCCATGACTGGTCTGATGGTCAACCTCACACTCAAACCTTCTGCTGTTACACAGGTACTGTCTTATCTTACGTTTGTATAACCTTGTTTTGTACAATACTGCCTTTAGGCATTATATATACTAGTACCTATACCAGGCTTCTGAAGTGGCTGGAAAGAGTAGAAATTGGCCAAATAGACACTAACACGCCAGGGGAGTTGTACTCCTTCAGCTGACCACCTCCCCTGGCATGTTGCATGTCTATTTGACATATTTCTACTCTTTTAAGCCACTTATGAAGTCTGATAAGGTCTCGGACCGGAGTTTTTTTTAAGATTTTGGATCCGGCGGACACCCTCAGACCGAAGGGCTATAACTCCGCCAAAAAAAGTACGCCGGGAAATCTCATTACATCAGTCAACGGAGGTTTCCAGCCGGCTTCCGATACAATTTTGGTTATTGTCCGTCGACTCTATAATTTGGGTAGAAACTGTAGTTAAACGTAAATTTTGGATACGAAAAATGTAGTTTTTTTGCAGTTTTTTCAACGGACCTGCTTGGAAAAAACGAATTTTCCCAGGCTAACGGCTTATATGCTGAAATAGCTTACTACTTCCTGTTTCTGAAAAACAGAAAAAAAATATAGGTTGTTGCGATAAGTTTTTCGCAAAATCCGGTGACGCGAACCCCTAGAAATTCCACATAGAACGCAGCTATTTGGGTCATCAGGCGACAAACCGCATCACCCTTGCTCGCGGACTAATACCAAAAACGCTTCGCTGGCCGTCCAACTTCACCGCGCCGAAAACACTACAATCCCAAGGCTTTTTGATCAATTCAAAACCTAGTTGAAAATCTACAGCGATCGCCGAGCTATGGGGAGCCAAACCTAGCGTGACAACCTCGCAGATCCGGCGATTTACTGCGCACTATTTGGAACCCTGGTCAGAATTAAACTCCGACCCGGAACCTTAAGGAGATTATTTTTCATAAAAAATTATCATAATTCTTCAGAAACATCATATCTACCATATATCCAAATTTCACATGTCTGCGATGAGTACTTTTCCCGCGGGAGAGGTTTAAAGTCATGTGAAAAATGCAGTGTTCTAAGGCTATATTGCCAAGCCTCGGGTCCCAGGGAGCGTCACAATGGAGCAATTAGAAAACTACCGTTATTTCAAACATGGCTTTTCTCAAAACGGTTATAACGGAAATAAAAGTCTGCTCGTGTCCTTGGCTATTGATATATGTGTTCTTTTAGTGGTTTCGGTGCCGCATACTTGCAGAAAACGTTCTTAACAGTTGGTATCGATGACGTCAGGCAGTGACGTCATCGGGTCCCCTGGGAAAACAGCATGGGGTCGCGTTTTAGGTTCGTCGCTTCAAAGTAAAAGGAAGAATTCGTCAGATTTCGACCTTGAATGATAGACCAGCGTTCGCACTTTCCGAATCAAACGCGTCCGACACCAAACTCTTCACTATTTCGCCGTGAATGGCCTATTAAGTAGCAAAGCGCTCCTTAAATGTGTGAAAGGCTGCATTATTACGAGGTGCAAAACACAATCTGGGTGATATTGCCGTGGCTAGGAGCAAGAAGTTGAAATAAACGCTGTAAAGATGTGAGGAGTACTTATTAGGCTATCACTTGACACCACCCAAAGGAAAGAAAGTCGCGAATTTAAGGAGCCCTGAACCGAACATCAGAAAACCCAGTTTTGCCTTAAGAAGGCTTAAAACACTTCGATTTTGCTGTTAAATGTCAGTTTAAGTCACCATAAATAGAGAGACTTCGCCGAAATTATACGAAAGTCAAATTCAGAGGTCGACTCATATAAAATGACATAGAAAGTGAATTCATGCAAGAACTGTTTACCTTCCAGAAACGATTAAAATTGCCCTGACGGGGATTTCGGGGGGGGGGGCGGGAAAGGGGGAGGGGGGCGGCCGTAGGGCCTGGGGCATGAATATACGGACTTTTTTACTCGAAAGAAGCAAAATGATGCGGTTTTTGTCAGAATCGGATAA